AACCTGGGAGAGCAAGGCATAGTGAGATAAATCCTGGGGAAACAGCTTTCTAGGCAGCCCTGTGTAAGCAGGACATACTTGAAGCATTCTCTTCTAAGGCAATTTTTTATTTATTTTTAAAATTTTTTTATTATTCATATGTGCATACAATGCTTGGGTCAAAAGTTTTTTAAATGAATTTAAATTTTCACACCTGTGAGGCTATGTGTGATGGGTGTGGTCTGGTCAATTCTGAGATGTCCTCAAGGCAGCTTTCCTACTATCCTGATGCAAACTACCTGGCTTTTTTTTTTTTTTTTTTTTTTTACTGAGGGGGTTTTCCAGCATAAGCCAGAAAACCTGCTGGACAAAGTCTAAAAGAGCTGTGACACTTTGGCTTTTTTTTTTTTTTTAATGGCCCTAGTCTCTTTAACAACCACACCTTTAGCCCTGGTATGGGTGTGAGCTGGTGGCTCACATCTACAATCCTAGTTATTCAGGAGGCTGAAGCTGGGAGGACTGCAGTTTGAGGTCAGTCTGGGCAAATAGTTTGTGAGATCTCCCAACTCCAAAATTACCAGAGCAAAATGGACTGGAGGCACTGCTCAAGTAATAGAGCACCTTCTTTGCAAGCGCAAAGTCCTGAGTTCAAACCCCAGTCCCACCAAACACACACACACACACACACACACACACACACACACACACACCTTCCTTGGCCCCAACTTTAAGCATGTTCCTTTTCTGAACAAACGGCATGTTTTTCAAATCTTTCTACTCTGCTTCTTTCTCCCAATAAACTTGGCTGAAAGCAGCCAGCAATAATCATTGCCACAGCCTGAATGCTGGGCTATCTTGAAATTTTCTCTGTCAGATTAATTAATCTATCACCTTTAAACTCAAAACTCCCCCAGTCTCAGGACAGAGATAAAATGTAGACAAATTCTTGGCCTGAATGTATCACTAATGGCCTCTACTCCAATTCCCAATATAATCTTCATTGTTACCTGAAATATGAGCACAGTCTTTATGTCCACATTTCTATTAGTATTCTGGTCTTCTGAGCCCCAAAATCAACCATTAAGCTCTGCTTACAACACTCTAGGGCTGCTCTAGCCCACATCTCCAAACTCTTCCAGAAACCAGTTCCAAAGGCTTAAGAATCCCATGATCAGGTTTAGTCTCAGCAATGACCCCACTTCCCTAGTACCGATTTTATTAGTCAGACTTCCATTTCTGTGACAAAATACCTGACATAAATAACCCAAGGGAGGAAAGGTATATTTTGGCTCACAATTTCAAAAGTTTCAGTCCTTAATCCTTGGCTCCAATAATTCTGGGCCGTGGTGAAGAATATCGTGGTGGCAGGAGCATGTAGAGAGGAGGCTGTTTGCCTCATGGCAGACAGAAAACTGGGGGTAGTGGAGCAGGACAAGACATACACCCCCAAAAACATGCCTCCTCAAGTGTCTTCCTCCAGTTAGGCCCCACCTCCTAAAGTTCCACCACCTCCCAAAATAGTGCCCCAAGCTGGGAACCAAGCCTTCAATACATGGGTTTTTTGGGATCACACTTCATATTCAAACCATAATAACCTAATCATTAGAATTTAAAACTCAAAGGCTACATCTTGCTGTTAGTTTGCTTTCTAAAACATTAGCACATAAAGATACAGGTACTGGATTGCTCCATTTTAGAGCCTAAGGCACTTTAAGAGCCCAGATCTACTTTTCATACTCTCCTATAAGAAACGCACTTTCTCAGTTTCAGGTTTCCAGTCCAGCTTTGTCACATCTGCCTTCTTACAGCAACAGAAGAGCTGGGTTATACATTTGCTTTCTTGGGTAGATTTAAGTGTTCATCCATATTCAACTGCTTTATTCACTTATTTTTATTTTTGGCAATAATAGGGTTTGAACTAAGGGCGTTACCACTTGCTATGCAGGCACTTTACCATTTGAGTCATGCCTCCAAGCCCTTTTCGCTTTGGTTATTTTTGGGATTAGGTTTCACATTTTTGCCTGAACTGGCCTGGACCATAATTCTCCTATTTTAAGTTTCCCATGTAAACTTGGATTACAAGCACATACCAGTACACCAGCTATCAGTTGAGATGGGGCCTCACTAGCTTTTTGCCCAGGCTGGGCTCCATGATCCTCCCATCTCCCATCTCTTCTCTAGCCCACGCTGTAAGCATGAGCCACCATGCCCAGCCTTAACTGCTTTATTTTAAAACCGCTCACTTACATGGCTATGAAGGGGCCAAGGTAAAAGAAAACCCCCTAATGAATGAAACACTATGCCTTGGCATCACGAATATGATTTATTTGCTTCTGGTCTACATTTTCATGCCAGTACTCCCTATACCCTCGAAAGACTTCACCCAGTTGTATTCCAATATCAGAAAAGCTCATTTTTTTCTAATGACAACAAATAACCTACCTGGGAAAAGTAGGGGGGTCATGGGCTATGTATGCTTCAATATCTCATGTCCTTTTTCTGGTCCAAGACATTGTTTACATTTTTTTTCTGTTAAAAGATCTGTTTTCAAGTTAACTTGGCTGAACAAAGAAAGTGGCAGTAATCACCTCACTCTTCCAAATTTTCCTTCAGAACATTTCACATACCACATTGATAACATTCTCCTCTTGGTTGGAGTTCCTAATAAAATATTTTTATTTTAATATTGATATACTATATAGCTTTGTTAATTAGATAGAAATTAAATTAATGCTCTTGTAATATGTTTTTAAAAGGCATACCAGGATAACTTTATCTGAAGCTTGGTTAAATGTTATGTAATTCTTAAGAGCATTGGGATCTCAGTAAAATCTCTACCTTAGACTAACAGTACACATTGCTACAAACTTCTGTTAACATACCGTATCCAAATACTGCCACTCCATTGTCCTGGGATAGTCCCAGTGCAACTGATCAATCTGTGCAGGTAACATTTACTGTGTTCCCCTAGACATTCACCCTACTAAAGTATACTGAATGCCTTTTAGATAGCTTCTGAAGAGTGTCATCCACAGTATCCGAACCCTCAAAACTACTGAAAATTTTCCGAAGTGCCTGAGTGTGGTGGCTAAACTGGAGCCAGCAGTCCCTGGGCTTGAAAAACTCCTGAAACATCCTGAAGGTCAAGTCTAGTCCTCCATAGTAACCCCAGATTTCTAAATAACCCAGATGAAAGATGACCCTTTTTTCTAGAGATTCTTAAATTGAGGTCTATGGAAGCACTTCTATGACTCAACAAACTCCTGGATAACATATACAAAATGTGTACATACACATTATTTTGGAGAATGGGCTTCATGGCTTTCAGCACGTTTTTTTTTCCCCTTTGTGGTCCTGGGGTTTGAACTCAGGGCCTCACACTTGCTAGGCAGGTGCTCTACCACTTGAGCCACTGTGCCAGCACGCACATTTTTTTTAACTTAAGTCTATGGTAAAAATCTTCAGAGCTCTATGAAAATGTCCATATAGTTGTTGGGAGCAGAGGGAAGTAGTTAGGACAACTCTACAAAGGAGTCCTGAATCTCTGATTTCCAGTCATATTCAGTGTGTGTGACTGAATACCAGATGCTCAAGGAAATGTCTCTGAAATTACAGAAATCCTTAATGACCATCTCAAGTATGATCTGATTCCTGCAAGGACCATTTATACCTGGATATCTCAGAGATAGACCCAGAAGGTAAAAAATGCTTAAACTCTAAGCCTAAGGCTGGCAGTGTTCATCACAGCTCTCAGACAAGCTACTGGATTGACCATTCCTTCTTCCAGATCTGGCCCCTAAGAGCCTGGGACCAAAGGGTCTCCCTGTAGCTCCCGCAGAAAAGAACTGATCCTCATAGACAGGCACTCTCCCTCACCTAATTCCTGAGGCCTCCCAAATTCTGAAATAAACTCGACCCTGCAGGAGGAAAGAAAAGCCTGCAATGACCCAGACAGCCAATCACAAAATGGTATGTACATCCTGGCAGGGCACAGCCAAACCTAGACATTTCAGAAGATTCTTTGAAGCCAAAGGTTCATTTATATCATGGTTCTCAAACCTTAACTGACTAAAGATCACCTTCAATGTTTTAAAATGCATATTCCTATGCCCTCAGAATTGTCACTCAGCAGTTCTAGGGTAGAGCCCAATAATTCTGATCTTATGAGTCCATGGAGTACATCATTTTTAGAATGCTTCTAGGGCCCTAAGGTATTAGATGTGGAAAGATCAGGTGACCCCAACCCCTACCATGATAAAAGAAGAGGCTTCCAGTTACCATTAATAGAGCCTTTCCCTGTACTAGATACTGCTAAACCCTACCTGGATTATTTTGTCTGATCCTTGTAACCCAACCCTGTTGTACCCATTTGTGCATGAATACTAAAGTTCAATGAAAATAGGAAACTTGCCCAAGATTCCTCAGCAGAGTAGCAGAGCCCGAATTGGGACCCAGGTCAAAATCCAGGTTTGTTCTTAGTAATCTACTACCGATTTTGAAGAGTACCTGATGACAGTAAAGGGGAAGCTATGAAGTCACATTTCTTCTACTACAGCTAGGTTGGTGAAGAAAACCACAGACCAGAGAGTAAGTGGACAACCACTGCAAAAGAGGAAGTAGATAAACAGGCAGGCTCAAAGGTCCAGGTTGAAGCCAAGCAGAAGGACAGATGGGCTGGCAAGGTAAGAATTATATTCCTAGAGCACAATAGCAACAGAAGACAGAGATGAAAGATGGTGGATAATGAGAGATGAACAAAAAGAGACTTTAAAGAAACCAGATGACTTCAGGGAAATCAATGAAACGCCATAGAAGGCTTTTGATCAACATGAGCCCACAGGCCCTGGGTTCTCTGGTCCCTGATGGCTATTCCTGCATTTGTACTTTTCAACTGACAGGAAAAACAATGAGTTCGATACATCAAATACCAAAACCAATTTTGGAGCCCATGACCCCTTTATAGAATATTATATACTCATTCACTAAAGGGATAAAACAATAATACCTAACTCATAGACATGTACAGTGAGAATCCAATGAGATAATTTAACTAAAGTGCTTAGCATAATGCTGAATACATAGGAGTTGAAAAATGGTAGCTCTATATCATTAAGTACTACTAATTACTACCGTACCCACACTCAACAAGCAACCTGTGTGGTATTTTATTTATTTGTAACAAACAATGAGGTCAAATGTGGTCTCTATGGATCAAGGTTCTTCTCTCCAGAGAAAACATCTTTTTTTTCAAGGTTTTTTTTTTTTTTAAACAACTCAAAAATGAAGAAAAGTCATCCCCAACTATATAGCAATTTGATCAAAAACAATTTGTATTTTTTCCCTTTAGTTTTAATATTATCCAAAATCCAACTTCATACAATTGTTCCATCCAAATTTGTTCTCAGGGAAAAATAAAGCTGTGGTTCTGTGCAACCTTTGCATGCATTAGAAACCAACCAATTGGTTTGTGGATTGTCAGCTGAACTTCTAATCATTTTCACCCACTTAACAGAGATGCCTCAAACAATAAGACTTTAATTTCAGACAACAGATCCAAGCAGACCAGTGAGAAGACTTGACTGTTGAACTGTGATAAACATGGCTCAGTGTGTCCTCACCACCCCTAATACTAGAAGAAAACTTCACAGTCATCTAACCCATTGTTCACAGTGAAGAACTGATGAGACAGACTTCCTAAGAGAAGAGCATTTAGGTGACCTTGGATAGAAGGGAGTGGAAGGGACAGAATAAACTAAGCCTCCCCATGGAAGGAAGAAGACTATTACAGAACACATTAAGGTCAGAGAACTAGATTCCTCAGAGTCTTCAGGATCAACAAGAGTCCACTCTAGCCACTTTGGTGAAATAAAAAGATGCTACGTGCCTCCAGAGAAGGGGAAATAAATGTAAAGAACAAAAATATTTAACAAGCCCTCTGCTTCTATATCCTATATCTGAATGTGGCTATCCTCCCATTAGACCTGACAAAAGTTCTGGATATGGTGCTTAGGCTTGTTCCAGTCACCCTCACTAGAGAACATATCTATCCATGACAAACCCAAATTCCTAATTCCTAAACTATTTTGAGTCACCCTAAATTATGGTCACTCAAGAATAAAATAAGCTTTGTAAAACAGCTGTGTGTTTTAATTCAAGAAATGAGCAGACAGTCTCAAACAATCCAAAATAAACGCTAGCAGTTCGCTCCAATTGGCCACACTTGCATCAAAAGTTTAGGCTCTACAGAATCACTCTGTCCAGTGCTTCCTAAGATGCTCTTTCAGCTGGGGAATAGAAGGCAGAAGCTGCTGGCACTCATGACAACGAAGAGGCAACTTCAAAAGTTCAGATGTCCCATCATGGACAGTCACTTGGCCGGCCTCTTGTACCATCTTGATTACAGCTGCAAGCAAGGAAGAAAAGTTTACTCTGGAAAGCCAAAAAGATACCAAAAGAAGAAAACATGACTCTGATCAAAATGTCAGGTTATTGTAAAGCTAATAAGCTTGAGGTTAGATGTCATACTGGAAAACTGTGCTTAATCAGATTCTAAATTTGAACAACCTAGCTTTGAGATAATGTAGTCCTTAAGACACATTCCATGTTAAAATGTCAAAGACTTATCACAGTGCTTTATCCACAGTTGGCCTTTGGTAAATAGTAGCTTTCATTAACATCTCAGTAAAACTGAAGTTCCACAGTATACACACTGGAAATTGCTTCCTCTAAATACGTACAGCCTTCCTCTGTTCATTATCCACTCCTAACATGAGGTAGCCAGCCCCCAAGCTCCTACCCAACTGATTGGAGAAGAGACAAAGAACTGTTCAGACCTTTCTTATCCATGAACTCTGTTGTGGTTTGTATATGAACTGATTCCCCAAAACACTGAAGCCTTAATCCCCAGCTAGTGGCACTATTTTATGAGGAAATAGAAACCTTAGGAGGTAAGGCCTATCTAGAGGAAATAAGTATGTGTATTGAAAGATGTTGAAAAATGGGGGGGGGGGGGAAGTAAAGGGGTAAGGGAGAGTAATCAAAAGGATTGAACACACCAAAGTAAAACACACCCACAGAGGGCATACAATAAGACACCCCTTAGAACGTCAACTCAAATATTAATTATGAAAAACAGGGCTGTAAAATAGACACAACGTGTGTGGGGGTGGGGGTAGGTATAATATCAGGAGCAGGGAGCGTGAAGGAAGGAGGTTAAGGTGATGGTATACGATAGATGGACTTCAAATATCTATATGAAACAGAACTAGAAAACTTCTTGCAATTGCTTTAAGTGGGGTGGGTAGGGAACTGAGGGGGAGAGATGATGGGGACAACATAACTAATGTCGGAATTATCACTATGAAACCCCCTCTGTATCATGAATACATCGTAATAAAAATTCATTTAAAAAGAAACTTTAGGGTTCGTTCCCGGGTTTCGGCACCAAAAAAAAAACAAAAAAAAAAAAAAAATAAAAAAAATAAAAAGAAACTTTAGGAGGTGAGGCCTAGCTAGAGGAAGTCGATTCCTGGGGGAAGGGGGTTCTTTGGGTTATATCGTATCCCGGGCCTTCTCCATCCACCATTCTCTCTTTAATGAGTTTAATGGTATCCATGGCCACCATGAGGTAACCAACTTTGCTCCTCTGCATCCTCCTTGCCATGATGTTCTGCCTTACGACAGCTCAGAAATATCAGAAATAGAGCTGACCAACCATGAACTTAAACCTCTGAAACTGAGCCAAAACATCTTTCCTCCCTTAAGTTGTTTATATGAGGTATTTTATCACAGTGACAAAAGCCTGAATAACACAAACTCAGTAATTCTCCTAAGTCCCCTTACTGCTAAAATAAAAATACTTTTTGACCTTGTGATACATCTTACTAGATCCCTCAAGAAGGCTGCACAGAGCAAAGGAAATTTGATTATAATCCAAATATTCTCGTTTCTTTCAATGGTACTGTTGTTTTAATAAGAAACAAAAAGTTGCATGTGGGTTTTTGAGGCCGGGTTCTTATTTAGGCAAACAACTGAATTAAGTATAAGAACAGCTGAGAAAATGAAACAAATGTGAAAAACAAAGAATACTGTTACCTTGTGATTCTAGGAAGTATTCAGTATTGAAAGAATTCCAATGTTTTTTGTTTTTAAGGCAAGGAGAATCAAAATCCTGGCTGATCACATGAAGATGTACATGGCTAGTTAAAAGTTTAAAAAAAAAAAAGACCATTAAATTCATTAAAAATTATGGCTTAATCAAAATGACAACAAAGTATGGCTATAAAGTATTAACAGTATGTTCATTTAATGCAGTTTTACTTAACAACAGTTAATGCTCAAGAAGTACCCAATAGAGACAAGCACTGTTCTAGGCACTGGGAATTCAGTAGTGAACAAAATGGGAAAAGACTTTGTCCTTATGGAAATTACATTCTAATGAGAAAAGATAAATAATAAGCAAATAAATATCTAAAATTGCTAAGAAAAATAAAAAGGAAAATGGGATAGTACCCAGGAGTAGAAGTTGCCTTTTTAACTAGTTAATGTTCAGGAAAGGATTCTACCAGGCAGTGACTTGCCAGGCAAAGCCAGGTCTTAGGCAGGAGTGTCTCAGGGATTGGGAGGTGCAAGCACTCAGGATAGGTTGGGTCATCCAAGGACCAGAAGGAAGTTAATATGGCCAGAACGTATGACTAGAACTATTAGAGCCAAGGAGCAGAGATTAGGCAGAAGCCAGATCATAAAGAGTCTTAAAGGTGAACAAGGAGTTTGCATTTTATTCAAACCCCTTCAATGGACAATTTTAAGCAGAGGAGTGCTATTATCTGATTTTACTTTTAAATTACCACTTTGGCTGTTATGTGGGGAAAAAATTAACAGGAATATAAGGTGGGAAACAAGCAGACCCATTAGGAAAAAAATTATTCATAACCTTTTCCTTTCTATCATGTGTTTTTGTTTGTTTGTTTGTTTTGTGGTACTGGGATTTGAACTCAGGGCCTATACCTTGAGCCATACCACCAACCCTTTTTTTTTGATGGAATTTTTTTGAGAGGGGCTTACAAACTATTTGCCCAGGCTGCTTCAAGCTGAGATCCTCCTGATTTCTGCCTCCTGAGTAGCTGGATTATAGGCATGAGCCACAGACACCCAGTTCTATCATGCTTATTTACTCAAAAATTATATCATGAAGAAGACTGACCATAAACTTTCCTTCCTTAGCTCAGTGTTAAGGCCTCTATTAGTCATGGGCTCTGCTGCATTATGGATATGGGACTATGGGTGACTTTTCCATCTTTTTTGTTTTGTTTTGTTTTTGCAGCAATGGAGTTTGAACTCAGGGCCTCATGCTTGCTAGGCAGGCACTCTCCCACTTGAGGCACTCCACCAGACCTTTTTTATGTTGGGTGTTTCTGAGATAGGGTCTCTCAAACTATTTGCCTGGGCTGGCCTCAAATCGAAATCCTTCTGATCTCTGCCTCCTGAGTAGCTAGGATTATAGGTGTAGCCACTGGTGTCTGGTTTCACCTGAATTTCTAAGTAAGATTTTAACAATAAAGATAGAAAAATTTATTTCTTGTGGCTAGGAGTGTAGCTTAGGGTAGAATATGTGCTCAGAATGCACTAGGCATGAGTTCAATCCCCTTCACCAAAAAAAAAAGAAAAGAAAGATATTTCTTTAAGTGAGGTAGACATGACGTAGCAATTCCACTTTTTGGTTTTTTTTGTTGGGTTTTTTTTTTGGGGGGGTGGGACTGGGATTTGAATTCAGGACTTCACGCTTGCAAAGCAGGCACTCTACCACTTGAGCCACACCTCCACTCCATTTTGCTCTGGTTATTTTGCAGATGGGGTCTTGTGAACTATTTGCCCAGGATGGCCTTAAACCATGATCCTCCTGATCTCAGCCTGACAAGCAGCTAGGATTACAGGTGTGAGCCACCAGTGCCTGGCACAATTCCACTTCTAAGTATTTACCCAAAAGAGAAAAAAAAAGTATATCTGTAATATATACAATGACATACATGAATCTCAAAATCATTACATTGACCAGAAAAAGCCAGACAAAAAAAGAGTATGCATTGTATGAATTCATTTATGAAGCTGTTGAACAAGCAAAATCACCTATGCTAAAGGAAATTAGAAAAGTGCTGGTGGTAAAGGAAGGATTATTTAGAAAGAGACACATGAGAACTCTGGGAGAAGATAAACATGTTTGTGACATGTTCATGTCAGAGTGATAGTGACATGACTGCACATATGTCAAAACTGATAAAATTATATATGTCAGTATACATTTTACTATATGAAAATTTTGATGCAATTTAAAAGGGAGAGTATTAATGGAAGGGGAATGTGGCATAAAGGTTTCATTTGGTTAAAGTAGCCAGTATTCTAAGTCACCTACCTAATATTTATTACCCACCTAGTAAAACGTAAGTGTTGGAGGAAATTCTGTCACATGTTACAACATGGATGAACTTTGAAAACATTATACTAAGTGGAAAAAGCCAGTCATAAAAGGATAGGAACTATATAATTCCACTTCTATGGGGTACCTATAATACTCAAATTCACAGATACAGAAAGTAGAACAGTGGTAGCCGAGGGCTGGAGAAAGGAGGAATGGGGAATTATTATTTAATGGGTATAAAGTTTCAGTTTGGGAAGATGAAAAGTTATGATGGAGATGGATGATGGCAATGGTTGCACAATAATGTGAACATACTTAATGACAATGAGCTGTGCAGTTACAAATAGTTAAGTTCACTGATATGTGCTTGTAGTACCAGCACTTGGGAGGCTGAGGTGGGAGGATCACTTGAGTCCAGGAGTTTGAGAACAGCCTGGGCAACATAACAAGACCTCATCTCAAAACATAAATAAAATTTATTATAAAATAGGTTAATATGGAAATTTTGTGTTAAGTTTATTTTACAACAATTTTTTTTAAAGCTGAAGATGGGAGGGTAGGTTAATAGTACAGCACATGTTTCGCATGCACAAGGCCCTGAATTCAATTCCTGACACATACAAAAAAAATCCTAAAAATTCTGAAATCTAATTTCATTATCATATTGCTTAGCCTTGCTTGCTTTCTTTGGAAAGAATCAATCATTTCTTTCCAAAATATTCTGGGTATAAACCAAAAGAAAAAGTCTCCACACTTTTCTGTCATTTTATTTTAAATTTTACATGTACTAAGATGTCATGACACAAGTCTATCATGTTTGTTTCCTTCAAAGCAAAGATCTTTAACAATTTTGAGTTACAGGTGATTTTGAAAAACCATTAATAGAACAAGTTCTCAAAAGAAGAAATTCAAATGGCCAGAAAACACATGAAAAAAATGCTCACCATCTCTAGCAATAAAGGAAATGCAAATTAAAACCACGCTAAGATTCCACCTCACCCCTGTTAGAATAGCCATCATCAGCAACACCGCCAACAACAGGTGTTGGCGAGGATGCGGGGAAAAAGGAACCCTCTTACACTGTTGGTGGGAATGTAAACTAGTACAACCACTCTGGAAAAAAATTTGGAGGCTACTTAAAAAGCTGGACATCGACCTACCATTTGATCCAGTAATACCACTCTTGGGGATATACCCAAAAGACTGTTACTCCAGAGGCACCTGCACATCCATGTTTATTGCGGCACTATTCACAATAGCCAAGTTATGGAAACAGCCAAGATGCCCCAGCACAGACGAATGGATTAAGAAAATGTGGTATCTATACACAATGGAATTCTATGCAGCCATGAAGAAGAACGAAATGTTATCATTCGCTGGTAAATGGATGGAATTGGAGAACATCATTCTGAGTGAGGTTAGCCTGGCTCAAAAGACCAAAAATCGTATGTTCTCCCTCATATGTGGACATTAGATCAAGGGCAAACACAACAAGGGAATTGGACTATGAGCACATGATAAACGCGAGAGCACACAAGGGAGGGGTGAGGATAGGTAAACACCTAAAAAACTAGCTAGCATTTGTTGCCCTTAATGCAGAGAAACTAAAGCAGATACCTTAAAGCAACTGAGGCCAATAGGAAAAGGGGACAGGTACTAGAGAAAAGGTTAGATCAAAAAGAATTAACCTAGAAGGTAACACCCACGCACAGGAAATCAATGTGAGTCAATGCCCTGTATAGCTATCCTTATCTCAACCAGCAAAACCCCTTGTTCCTTCCTATTAATGCTTATACTGTCTCTACAACAAAATTAGAGATAAGGGGAAAATAGTTTCTGCTGGGTATTGAGGGGGGGGGAGCGGGAGGGGGTGGAGTGGGTGGTAAGGGAGGGGGTGGGGGCAGGGGGGAGAAATGAACCAAGCCTTGTATGCACATATGAATAATAAAAGAAAAAAAATAAAAAAATAAAATAAAAATAAAAATAAAAAAAAAAAAAAAAAAAAAAACCATTAATAGAACAAGTTAATCTGATTAAAGAGTGATGTATACAGGCCTGAAGTACCAAGGTGAAACCCCCTATATCAATCAATATACAGTTAAAAAAATGAAAGACAGGAAAAACAGGTCCTGTCCAGAGTTGAATACCAGTGGGAGGAGAGGAGGGCAAAAAGAGAGGGTGAAGGAGGGAAAATATGGTGGATATATTTTGCATTCATGTATGAAAATAGAACAACGAAACCTGCTGAAATTGCTCTAAGAAGGGGGAAAGAGGATGAGGAAGAATGATGGAAGGACTTAATCTAATTAAGATATGTTATAGGCACATAGGTAAATGTCACAATGTAAACCCTACCCCCTGTATAACTATTATATGCTAATAAAAAAACCAAAAAAAAAGAAAAATCTAATAAAAGCCACTAACTACAATTCCTCATCTGAGGGTAATGAAGTTGCTTCATCTAGTTCATATGTTAGGTCCTCAAAGTTTTAAATTTTGAGAGGAACAAAAAACACAGGATTGAATCATAGGCAAAAGTAGCAACTCAAAGCTCACAGGCAAGTCAGACAAAGAAGTAGAAACTTCAACCCACCTGCCTTGGAAACATCCTACCCTACTGTCCGGGCTTTGGTCTATCTGAACACTTAACAAGCCGAAGCTGATCACCTAGACAGAACCAGGAGGCACCAGCACTACCCATAAGGCTTACCTCATGCTAGGAATGGCATGGTAGCCCAATCGGAAGCGGAGTTTGCTGGATCCGGCAAAATCTGCAATTACCTTTTCCCCCACAGTGTGCATATGTTTAAGGAGTTCAAGGTGTTCACTGGTCACAGCCTTTAGACTGGAAATGGAGGCCCATGGTAAGACCAGCCAATGATGACGGGCTTTAGGGTATTTATCCTTAATCACCACCACATGCTCATCTTTGTAAACCTAAGCAAGGGGCACAAGAGAAGGAATCAGACATCCCCTGAGAATCTTCTGTGTGCCACATACTGTCATAGTCATTAAGTCACTTAATTCCCATGAAAATCTCATACAAAAGATTTTAGCAAAAAAAAAAAATAAAAAGATTTTAGCATCTCAATTTTAAAAAGTGAGAGCACTGAGACTCAGATAGTCTCACACAAGTCACATAGTTACAAAGTGGAAAATCTAGGATTCCAAGCCATACCACATGGACTCCAGTGTCCATTTTTCAATCACCATGCTATAGAAAATACACAGAAGATAGTTTCCAAGGACCTGATGTTAAAAATCTCTGCAGGCATCAATTCAAATGCATCCACTCTCACAGAGCAGACCATGTGACACATGTGCATGGGTTCCGAGGACCACTAACAGACCTGGCTACTTGTTAACTAGCATGTAACTAAAGCAGACCTCAAAGCCTCCTCTAAGGATGATGGCTACTAATCCTAAGAGGTACAATACTACAGTCAAAATATACTACCTAATGTTCCTTTGAAAGGGTCCATGCTAAGGTTAATACAATGAATGTCTCTTAATAGTACCCAGAAGTTTAAAAGGAACAAGGCAGAAAGAATACTTGTTTAAATAACTTAGCTTTTATCCAAAGAACTCCAGTTGTTTTTGCCAAAGGGAAAAGCCATTTGTTCTCACCGAATAGCCCAGTAAAACTTGTAAGGGTTGGTACCTTTGATTTTATTTGCAATAATGGCCTCTATAAAATGATTGTGTACAACATGAAATGCACTTACATTCCATAATTTTATTCTGACCTGCATTTTGGGATCCTGCATAGAAATCTTCAAGCCTTGACTCCAGTGGCCCAGTGATTCCTAAACAAAAAAAGGACACTATAAATTGAAAATGTCAATAATTAAATTTGGCATTAACTTAATACATTAATGTATTAAGATACATTAATAATGTATCTTAGCAAGGTCCAACCAAACTTGGAAGTAAGGTTAGATCTTGAGAATTAAACTAGACTTCTTCAATCTATTGGTTTTTAGGACCATAAGCCATCCCTACTATCTCCCTGTAGTCAGAATTGAGTGTCTGAATGGAGGCCAGAAACAACGGGGCATGAATCCTATCTTTGCCTTCTCACACTTCAACTACCACCTGTAAAAATTTCTACTCTGACATTAGTACATGAATTACATGATCTGTAAAAAGTGTTCCAATGCTATATAGATTAAAAAACTGACTCATTTTAGTGTTCAGTATTAAATATACATCTATTACTGCCCTACCTTCCTTTATGTGGCTTACCTTAGGAATTTAAGAGAAAAGCATATAAAGGGACATTCACCCAAGTGATTTTCATGCCACAAACAAGTAACTCTTTCATCATGGCTAATAACCCTCATTATAGTTAATAACCCCTCACACGTGTCTAGGCTTTACAGTATACAAAACAATTATACAGCCATTACATCTCATTGAACTTCCAAACATCTATCAATCACCTACCCTCACCTTTTTGGTAGATGTATCTTTTCCCTTCTTTGGAGGCACAGAGCATTGGCTGGGGCCACTCCCAGGTTCCTGCTCTGTCCCAGGCTCAGCTTCCTGGGCAGTGTCCCCTTCTGTAGAATCACTGTTGCCTGACCTCTTTCTCTTCCTGTGTGTTTCTAGGCCATGGCTCATTGCCTCTTCCTCAAACTCTACAATATATGGATAAAGTTCATTCACCATATAGAGAACCTGGCCAGGCTGCAGCTTCATCTCTTGGTCCTTCCCAATTATGACTGAGTCAATGCTGGTGGGATTGACCCCTACCTATGGAATAAATAATCAAAAAATAAACACAATAGCAATAACACATTAACAATACAGCCACTGCTATGATAACTACTTACTATGTGCCAGTCACCCTACTTAATGTTTACCTGTATTACTCAGTCACTTCCACACATGACAGAAAAGCCTTCATTGGCTGGCACAGGTTTCCTAAAGACAAGTGTAAGAAAAACATCAAGTATAAAACTGAAATCCAAGTTACAAACACATACCTGCTTTACCTTGACATATCCCTTGTTACACTCTGCTTTCAACTGTACTGAAAGAGATTAAAAAAAGTTAAACACAAATGTCATGCACTTGCTCCTGTTTCCCCCAGAGGACAATGAAGCCTTCCTACATAAGGTATCCTGACAGAGGAGCAGCTACCTGATCTACAGGTGTCTGGACCTCCAAATCCCACTGATTTCTGAGAGCTTCAACTACTTCCATAAAATGTCTGCCAGTATACGTACTCTTAGCTATTGCTAATATCCTATGAGGCAGAGTCAATGAATCCCTATAAGCTTTCTTATGCCAGAACCCCTGGCCTGCTTGGAATCACACATTCTGCCAACAGGAGAAAAGTCTAAGTTCTTAGCAGGATTAGATTAAGCTTCCACTATTTCAAAAAAAAAAATAATAATAATCAAGGGCTAAGGACATAGCTCAGTCATAGAGTGCTTGAGTAGTATGTACAAGGTCCTGAGTTTGATACCCAGAACTAGCACCACAGGTACTGTATCAAGTACTTTCATCAGAAAAAGAAGCAAAAGAGATGTTCATGGAAAGCAGTTCAGCTGGCCTTGGATAGAAGGAATGGAAAGAATGTCTCAGAGACAAGATTTCCAGGATGGAACAGTGTGAGCATGCATGAGAATAGGTAACATTAAGCACACATGTTCAGATAAGTGAATAAGTTATCTAGAACTAAGACAAAGAACAAGATGACACACCACTGCTGCTCACCAGGAAGGACAGGGAGAGTACTGTCACACACACACACACACACACACACACACACACACACCCACCCCTATAATTGCTACTGTGAGGAGGGGGATAGATAAAAACAGTGGCTGCTTCGGTACCTTAGGCCTAGCCAGCTCAAGCACAGTTCTTCTTCCCTCCCTATAAACTAACTCACATAGAAAAGTCAACAATCAGTGCTGTAAATTCAAACTCTGTAAGTCCAGACCCAACAGTGCACATGCCCAAAGTTTACAGGAAAGAAAAAGAAATACTTGGTAAGCCTTTTTCCTAAGAGCATAAACCTATAAAAGACAAGAGTCTCATAAAGATACTACCCTCTGTGTAAAGGATGGCACCACCCCATTGCTTCTCAGACAAGGTTTCATCCTGGAGACTCCAGAATGTATCTGTCTTGTTGCCCAATGTACAATCTCCCTGGGCAAAGCAGAATGCAGAACTCAAATCCACCATTCTGTGGAACCTGCCTTCTCTCAACCCTACCTTGAATGTCACCACATTGGAAGGGCAGAATCAGAAATGAATGGGACTCTGGTGTTGGCTAAAAGAACTCAGTTCCTGAGTTTTGTCTTTTGGATACAGTAAGTTTTCCATCAGGAGCACCCAAGAAATGTGCATCTCTAGTTATCATTATCTTCTGGAAGCAAACATGTAATCTCCACATTACTAAGAATGATCAGTTACCTTGCTGTCGAGAACATTTCTTATCTGTGATCTTGGTCTCTGGGCTGCGCCCAATCACAACTGCTTCCAAATGTGGAAGTTTAATTCGCTGATGCCGGCTATCCTGTCTCACCAACCAGCAGACTCGCATCATCACTCTAAGAGACAAAATAAGAGAAACACTAGAAAAACAAATTTACTAGCATGAGTCCCACAGGGTCACACCCCAGCGACACCATACACATGATATGCCAGCTGTTAATCAAAGCAGGTGACTTCACTTCCCAGACTCAATCTCCTCACCTATAAATCGGTGATGATGACAGGACTCAAGAGGCTACTGTGAGGATTAAATGAGATAATGGGGTATTTACCTCCCTGCCTGAGTCACACTAAGCTAATATATTTGTTACACATTTACTGATATTCTCTATGTGCTAGACATCATGCTACATGCTGAGGATCTCTCAAAGGTAAATAAGACATGGAGCCTGGAATAGAATGAGGCAGACAGACTCACATACCAATTATTGCAATATAATATGACAAGCACTATAAGAGAGAAACCAAATATGACATTAGCCTAGTGAGAGGACTGAATGACTCCAGGGGAGTACTAAAAATGGTTTCATGAGGAAGGGATATTTAGGCAGGGTTTTAAAGGATGGGAAGGAGTTTGTCAGCCAGAGAACTAAGAAGATAAGAATGACAATGTCCTTCAGTTCTAATGTGTCTGTGTATTAGGTTTCTCTTTCTTAACTGAAATAATATACTGCTGTTACAAGAACATTTTACTCCAATCTGCCATAATAAATACACAAATCTACAATTTCTAAAGTGTGAATATGGCACCTTTGTGCAATATACAACAGTGGAGATATTGATATTCTTTTGAAAAAATAACCTTTATGGACATGTAGACTATCAGAAGAGAAATAAGAAATTCAGAGGTAATATGAGGCCTGAACAAAAGCAGAAGTAAAGAGAGTGGAGAGGAAGAGAGTCAGGAGAAACCTGGAAGACAGACTTAATTTCTTATGACATTTGAGAAGTGACAAAGGAGTAAAGGGAGATACCAAACAAAGATATTTAATTTGACTAGGCACTCACACATGTAATCCCAGCTATTCAGGAGATGGAGATTGGAAGGATTTCAGTTTGAGTCCAGCCTGCACAAAAAGTGAGACCCCCATTTCAATTAATAAGCCAGAGCAGTGGTACATATCTGTGATCCCAGCCTTGAGAGACCTCCTCAAGGGAGGATCACAATCTGAGGCTGGCTCCAGGTAAAAACGTAAGACTCTGCCTAAGAAATAAGTAAAGGAAAAAAGGGCTAAGGGTGTATCTCAAGTTGTAGAGAAAGCATGAGTCCCTAAGTTCAAAACCATGCACCACTTAAAAAAAAATAAATTTCCAATTAACAAAAAAGGAACATACAGAAAGACATTATTTAGGGGAAGATGTTGAAGGTGAAGGTGTAGCAATTTCATACTGGAAGACAAACAGTTTTCATGGCCTCTGGAAGACCCAAAAGTCAAGCTGGGATATACTAGTATGAAGCTCAGGAGAGAGGAACAAACTGAGCATATGTATTTGAGAGGCATCAACATGTCATAGAAGGTGAGGCAAAGAGAGGATGAGATTACCCAATGTGTTAAATTTCATCACCTCTTAGCCAAATACCTGACAGAAGCAACAAAAGAAAGAAATTATTTATTTTGCTTATGGCTTCAGAGTTCGGTCCTTTATGGAGGAAAGGGTAAGGCAAGGAATCTCACACCATGGTAGACTCGAAGCCCAGCAGAGCAACTCACATCATGGTGGACAGAAAGTAGAGCAGAGGTAACAGGACCAGGGCCAGGGCAAGATACAGCTCCAAGAACACACCACAGTGACCTACTTCCTCCAACCAGGCCCACCTTCCACAGTTCACCATTTTTCACTAGTCTAGTCAAAGTTTAAATCCATCAATGAATTAAACCATACATTAGGTCCATGATATAACTGTCTCAGGAAACACCCTCACTGACTCCCAGAAATGTACTTTACTAAGCTCTTATTTCTTGATCCAATCAGACTGACAATTAAGATTAATGCTGGGTGGGATAGTATACACCTGTGAGGCAGAGACAGGTCAGTCCAGGCAGTTAGCTTGAGATCCTATGTGAAAAACAAACTAAAAGCCAAAGGACTGGAGCATGTCTCAAGGGGTAAAGCTCAAGGTCCTAAATTGAATCCCTAGTACCACCAAAAAAAATAAATAAATAAAATTGCAGGGCACTGGTGGCTCACACCTACAATCCTAACTACTTGGGAGGCTGAGATTGGGAGGATCTTGGTTTGAGGCCAGCCCAGGCAAATAGTTCTCAAGACTCCATCTCCAAAATAAACAGAACAAAAATGGACTAGAGGTGGGGTTCAAACAGTAGAGTGCCTGTTTTATAAGAGTGAAGCCCTGAGTTCAAACTCTAGTCCCACCAAAAAAAAAGTGGAATTGCTAGCTTATACTACTTCATTTAAAGAAATATCTTTTTCTTCTTCTTTTTTTTTTTTCTTTTTTTGGTGAAGTGACTTAAACCCAAGCCTAGTGAATTCTAAGCACATGTTCTACTACCCTAAGCTACATCCCCACCCCAAGAAATATTTTTTTATTGTTAAAATCTTATTTTAAAATTTAACCCAAGAAGGTGGAATAAGAAAAGGGACTCATGGGCAAGGCCAGGACTAGACCTTTGGGATGCCTCCCTACACTCTAGAACCTAATCAATGCTCAAGCCTCTAACACCTCTAACATTGGGGAAACACTGCCTGAAGTCAAAGCAGCACTTATACCTTGTATACAAGCTTCGTGTTCATAAACAAAGAAAACAGAAACCAGATGTTTTTGTTGAGGTTACCGGAGTTTGAACTCAGGGCCTTGCACTTAATAGGCAGGTGCTCTACCACGTGAGCCACACCCCAACCCCAAAACCAGAATTTCTAAGCGTTCCAATATATATGCAAAGATAAGATAATGCAAGGCAGAGCGAATAAATGAGAGCCGAGGAGGTGCAAATCCATAGAAATTGGGTTAGTGTAAAAATATACAGGCTAGCTAAGGAGATCCAAAGTCCTGTATTAGTTAGGAAAGGCCTCCAGAAACCACTCAGTTAGAGAAGACTAGGGGCCAAGGGGACTGATAAGGAAAGGACTAGGAGAGGTCATTTCACTTTGAAAAGCACAAGTGACAGAACAGATTTCAGCAATGGCAACTCATGGGTCATGGAGAGAAAGCAGACTTAGTTGGATGAGCCAAAGGACCTGTTATGCACACACACGAAAATAGAGATACTGAAGAACAGTAGCATAGAAAATTTAGATTTAACATAATTAATGAGAGACAACTGCCAGGTTTGAGCTTTAAAGTAAGAAGAAACAACAGAAGTCAAAGAACACTTTGTCAACAGTTGTGAGTAAGCACACATTAATATAATGTTAATATAATGTAGTCCAGAGAGCTCCAAAAGGCATTCTGGGAAAGCATTGATGCAAAAGCATGAAGAGTCAGCTGTAAATCTAAAATCCTAAATCTGGACCCCTCATTGATAATGGTGCAGCAGGTCTAATTTTGAAATGCTATGTGCTCTGAGGGGCATCTGTTTCTGTTTCCTCTTAGTAGAAACTGATGAATGAGCAGGTAATGGACTGAGAAGTGAAGTATGTCTTCATTGGGCATTAAGAATCAATTCATGTGGTGACTGACAACTCATGCTGACAATAAAAGAGAGCACAGTTTGAGAGCAGAGACAGGGAGGAATCAATGGAAGCTGGGACCAGGGCTGACTGTTGCAGGATAAAGGGAACTATCCCTCCTGCCCTCATATTCTTTATTCCCCCAGAGTTCTGAAGTTATGATGTTCCTATTTACTACACTCTGAGAAGCTGACACAGTGACAATGCTCATACAACTAAACTAAGACAGTATTTTAGCCCATTTTAGCCTCCAGACCCAACTCCAGATATAGATATATATGATATATAGATGTATAGCCATATATCTAGATAGCCATATCTATAGATATGTAGATATATCTCCAGCATTTAATACAACACGTGGCATACTGCAAGCATACAATAAATATTTACAAGTGAATATTACATAATAACCCTTTCTATACAGGTTTTCCTTCTTTTCTCCTCCTTCTCTGGCTCTGTTCTTATGGTAGAATGTCAAAAGAGAAGAGCAGAGCATGCTACCATCCTCTATTTTTAAACTCCATCCTCTTTTTTTTTTAATACTAGGATTTGAACACAGGGCTTAATGTTTGCTAGGCAGGCTCTCTACTGCTTGAGCCATACCTCCAGCCCTCCATCCTCTATTTTTAAACTCCATGCCTTTCATTGCAGAGTTGTGGGAATTGATCAGAAAGAAATTCTGATTATTTCTTAAAGAACCCAAGTGATTGTGAGCTAGTGGAATGGCTTAAGTGGTAGAGTGCCTGCCTAGCAAGTGTGAGGCCCTGAGTTCAAACCCCTAGTACAACTGGGGAAAAAAAAAAAAGTCTTGAAAGCCAAGTGATCGAATAGGCCACATAAAGCCAGAAATCTGCTATCTTGGAGCACTACTGTCCAATAGAATTTTCTGATAATGGAAATGTTCTAAACCTGCCCAATACAATCAGTTAGCTACCATGTGACAATCAAGCATCTGAAATATAGCCAATGCAACAAGGAACTGAATCTTTTTTCACTTAAAGTTCTGTAATTACATGTGGCTGGGGGCTACCATAATGTCCAGTACAGCCCTAGAAACTCACCCAGTCTTGATCAACTCCCAAATCCCTCAGGCTTGAAGTGAAGACCCAGACTCCAACTCCTCTTTGTTTGCTTATTTCACTTCCCACTACTTTTCACAGAACTAGCTCCACATGTCCATCTTCTTTTCCCTTCCCCCAGATGCACATACATGTACCTTTGCATGCACATACATCCTTCAGGTATAATGTACTGAACATGTCTCCTAAATAAGTCATTAACTTGGTCTCCTGATATTGATTTATACTCTTTCCTCCTTTCTAAAAACCCAAATCCCAGTCAACTTTCAAGCCCCACCTCCTCTAAGGCCTTCTTGAATCATCTTCTCTTCTGTACAACCTGTTATTGGATGTGGAAGAACTACCTTCACTGAATACATAAAGTGGATGTAATTCTACTCTCCAAATGAGATTATATCTCCTTGGGAACAAACTGCATCACTGCCTATCCAATCAAGAAACATGAAAGAAGGGTCTCTGGATATCAATGCCCTGGGCTAGGCCTGGTCTTATACTCCAGGATCCCTAGTGTTAAATGTCTCATTTATACTATCTCATTTTAATATTCACAACTTTCATTATGAGGATGAGAACATTAAGGATTAGATAAATAATATGACAAGTCACTACATAGCCAATGTGTGCCAGAGCTAGAATTGAATTCATTCCAAAGAATGGGTTCTTAACCACTGTACCATATACTTTTTGGCTTCACTCATTCAACTTAATGCACGCTATTATGTGCCTTGTACAATTCTAGCACTAGGAATTAGGATCTAATACAGGAGCTCTACCTTCAAAAGGTTCAGAGCATCATAGAAGAAAGAGACACACACACAAAATAAAAAACCAAATAAGGGTGATAAGTATGATTGGTCTGTACAAAGGTATTATGGAAAGACAAAGCTGGAGTACCCAACATATACTAGGGGAAAGGAAAGTTTCCTGGAGGACACTGACCTAAACTGAGTGTTATCTATAAACTGGGTTATGGCAAAAGTGGACAGGCTAATTAAGTAAGGTTTAAGAGGTAGAAAAAGGAATTAGGGTGAAGATTCCAGGTCAAGGGAACAGCCAGGGAAAATGTACAAAGAACAAATAACACAGTGTGAGCCAGGCGCTGGTGGTTTATGCCTATAATCCTAGCTAGTTGGGAGGCTGAGATCAGAAGGATTTGGATTCAAGGCCAGCCTGGGCAAATAGTTCATGAGACTTTATCTCCAAAATAAGCAGAGAAAAATGGACTGGAGATGCAGCTCAAGTGGTAAAGTACCTGCTTTGTATGGACAAAGCCCTGAGTTCAACTCCAGTCTCATTAAAAAAAAAGGAAAAAAATAATAATACAGTGTGCACAAAGAAGAAATTCAGTGTTTCTGGAACCTAAAGTAGGAGGCAGAGACCTGGGTGACTGACTGAGAAGCTCAAACTTTGGAAGTTCCAGCGGGTTCTGTAATAGACAACAAATGATTGCTGAATGAATGATAGAGAAGAACAGATATATGAACAGACAAATTTTAAAGATGAAACAGGAATCTTACAAAGATTTGTTTCTAACGACCATTTGGCGGGGTAGTATGGAAAGCAGGTATGTGGACAAAAGGACTAGAAGCAGAGAAGTCAACTAGAAGAATGAGGCCTGACATAGGACAACACAGTCATTCCCTTATTCACAGTTCCACTTTCTTTGGTTTCAGTTACCCATGGTCAACTATGGTTTAAAAATATTAAATATAAAATTCCAAAAATAAGCAATTCATGTTTTAAATAACTTCTTGTTACAGTAAAATCGTTTTATTAGTTGTTGTTAATCTCTTACAGCATCTAATTTATAAATTAAATTTTACCAGAGAGATAGACAGGCATGTATGTGGAAAAAAGCACGTATCTATAGATTATTAGTTCTGAGGGTTCAGCCATCCACTGGAATGTATCCCTCACAGATAAGGGAAAAGGGGACTACTGTAGTAAGGTCAAATAAAAGTGCACAGATTTGATAACTATTTAGGTGGCAAAATTATCAGAACTTACTGCTGGATATGATGAGTTAAGTACAGGGAAGATATTGACTTCACTTTCAAGCCTCTGAATTTCAAATGTTTTTGGGACTTGGAGGGAGAAATGTCCATCAGGGTAGTCAGATGTGAAAGTCAAAAAATACATCTAAGCTGATGATTTCCTTTTGGGAGCATGTAGTAGCTTGTTTAAACCAAGTTACTTGACGTGCTCATTCAGATAGTGTGTACAGAATGAAAAGAGCAGTGGGCCAAAGTTATAAGCACTGGAAACCAATTCAATATTTTATGGGAGGTGGAAAAAGACTATCTACAGGAAAAATGACTGGCAAGAAAGGCACATGGAGAAAAAACTAGAATGTCAGTTCTTTAAGGTACTATTTCTGTCTTGCTCCCCTGCGTATCAGAAAAAATACTTGAATAAATTGGATGAGCATACGGTCCTGGAAAGCAAAGGAGTAGTTGTAAGAGGTATGAGCAAGTCCCAAAAGTAGTGAAAGGATCCAATAATGACTGAAAAATTCTTATCTGATTTAATAATCAATTACTGGTAAATTTAGGGTGAAATTTCAAGGGAAAGCTAGACTGCATAGGGAATGGAGACAAAACTTAGAATACTCCCAGAAGGATGACAATGGGAAAAAAAGGTTTACTAGATGACAGTAAAAGGAGGATGGATAACAAAAAAATAATAATCATAATAATAATAAAACTTTTTTTTGGTTGGGGGAAGTATCAGAAAAGAACTCAGAAACCTGACCTTATTTATTCACAAGTGGAACACAGACAAAAGGGGCAGAAATGACTAATGAAAACAGATCTCATAAAGAAAGAAAAACGGTCAGAAGCAAAAATAGATTTGCTTTGATCAATCAACTCACCTTGTGAGACTAAATGAAATATAAAAATGAGTGTAAATCTAGATGAGTTTGTTAAGAAGAAAAGCAAAGGCAGAAATTTGAAGGAAAGCATGTCTAGTGGTCTTAATTTTCTCCATAAATAATAAGAAACAACAGAGTGAAGTGTTTGGGAATTTTGTTAACTGTTGAAGATCAATATGGAATAACAATGAACACTGAGACCTCTGAACATGGACTGCTTGAGTTCAATCTTGGCTCCACCATCTACTCACTGTGTGACCTAAGGAAAATTATTTAAACTCAACATTATTATTATTCCTGTTAATAGTGAAGATAGGATTAAAGCAGGAGCTGCAGACATATAAAAAGATCCTTCAAAACTAATGACTGTGCAACTAAGGTGAAAGGGGACGGAGCTGTATTGTCTCCCCACATGAACAATCCTGTCTCAAAAGTTCTACAAAATTCCCAGTGAAAGTCAAATTCCCCAAAAGGTCTAAACCTGGACCACATTAGTCCCATCCAAATACCCTGCTTCAACTGAGGCCAATAGGAAAAGGGGACCAGGAACTAAGAAAAGGTTAGATCAAAAAGAATTAACCTAGAAGGTAACACCCACACACAGGAAATCAATGTGAGTCAATGCCCTGTATAGCTATCCTTATCTCAACCAGCAAAACCCCTTGTTCCTTCCTATTATTGCTTATACTCTCTCTACAACAAAATTAGAGATAAGGGCAAAATAGTTTCTGCTGGGTATTGAGGGGGGGAGCGGGAGGGGGTGGAGTGGGTGGTAAGGGAGGGGGTGGGGGCAGGGGGGAGAAATGAACCAAGCCTTGTATGCACATATGAATAATAAAAGAAAAATGAAAAAAAAAATAATAAAAAAATAAAAAAGATAATTCAAAATTTGAAAAAAAAAAAAAAAAAACAAATACCCTGCTTCGTTGAACCGCTAGTATCGGTCTGTACGAGACAGGCCTGTTGAGGACGCGGTGGAGGGGCGTACCTCTCAGAGGGCGTTTTTGGCGGAAACACTGCCTTCCTCTACAGGCCGCGCCGTCTCCCTGGGATGGACATTGGCCACTCTAATCGTTATCTGCTGTGTTCCGACCAACTAAGTACAAGTGTCGGGGGCACATGTGAACGAACGCGAAAAGGAGCACAGACCAACGTGAGCGCCCCGAAACACGCCCACGCGAGGAGAAAAGGATGGAGCAACGACCATGGAGAAACAAGCCGTGAGAGTGTCATTCAAGGCACATCACTCAAGGTTAGTCACCTCGGGCCTAATGCCCACACCGCCTTCAACCCAGCCAGCCAGCAACAAGGTAGGCCGACCACTGCCTTACCTCCAGATGACACAGACCGATGGGCTCACGTTACTCCATCTATGCCTCACCGCTTCCGGCGCTTCTGGATGACATCACAAGAGGGCAGAAAAGCAACTAGTGACGCCACCAGCACCTCTCCCCGGATTGGATAAAAGGGGCTCGTCCAATGCCCGGATGGAGAAGTGCTGGTCCCTCCCCACGCTGTTTCGTCGAGGGACTATGCATTGTTGCGAACATCTATCAGCGAATCTACCTTAGTGCAGCTGGTAGAGACTTCAGGTAACAGTCTCCTCTGTAGCCCTTCTACACAGCCGTTCAGTCTCTTGACACTTTCTTCGGAAGAAGCAGCTCACTAGCCGGCGCCGGTGGCTCACGCTGCAATCCTAGCTACTTGGGAGGCTGATAGTTTGCGAGATCCCATTTCCAGAATATTTGGTAGTTTTTTGTTTTGGTGGCACTAGGGTTTGAACTCAAGGCCTCACGGTTGCTAGGCAGGCCCTCTTACCGCTTGAGCTACTCCTTCAGCCCGCCCATCTCCAAAAGAACCAAAGTAAAATGGACTGGAGGTGTGGCTCACGCGGTACAGTGCAAGCTTTGCAAGGGTAAAGCCGTAAGTTCAAACCCCAGTCCCACCAAAGAAAACCGGGACCCGCTGTAGCCTTGCCACCACCTTCTAAACTACAATCTGCCTTCTCCCTTGGGAGGTGGGGGGAAATGAGTGGAAAGGAGATGGGCACAGGGAAGCCTCTTAAGATTTTTTTATTGCTGTTTTCATTAAATAAACTGAGGAAGAATCAGGGAGGAGAAAAGCAGGCGGCCCAGATGAGATGTGTGTACTGATTTTTATAGCAACCCAAAATCTTACATAAAAGTCAAGTGTTGCAGATTATTCAAAGGCATCTTGATAGATGAAAGAATTCCTTGGTTTTTGTTGTTGTTTTAGTTTTGATGCGACTGGGGTTTGAATTCACGGCTTTGGACTTGCAAAGCAGGCTCTCTACCATTTGAGCCACATCCCCCAGTCCAAAAATTCCTATTACTTGTTTAGAAACTTCTCAAATGCAATGGAAACGGTCTTAAAGAATCCCATTTCTTTCTCTTTTTCTCTTTTTTTTTTTTTAACTTTCTGGCAGGGTCTCACTAAGTCACCACTCAATCCTTCTGCCTCTGCCTTCCTAGTGCTGGGATTACAGGAGTGCACCACCAACACCCAGTTTTAGGAGTCCCATTTCTTGATCAATGTTTCCTTCCATGTGAAAGCAGAGACTCAGACTCCACTATATGATGGAGATATCTGAGCACTCAAAACAGAGGGTGGGAGGTTCGCATTTGTCAGCAGAGAAGATACAGACTTATATTAAAATCACACCAGGATGTGGGAGGCACAGGGGGCATCTCAGATTCAAACTGAGGAAGGTAGCTTGCAGCAGCTGGAGATAAAGAAAAATAAAAAAGGTAGCTGTGGTGACCTAACCAGTTTTGTTGTTCCTTCAAAAGCCTCTGGTTCTACTTGACCTGCTTTTTGTGTGCTTTACAGCTAAAAATTGAATTGGATCATTCTAGTTGAGTTATTCACCACATAATGTATAAATGGGCAAATTTTCCATGCCCAACTTTTTAGGTCTAGCCCATTATTCATAGTGTGGTGGCCAGAAAAGCAAGTCATTGTAACAGTGCATGGCTGAGGGCATAGCAGGCACTTAAGACTTTCACCTACTTCACATTGTTGTGCAATTAATCTCCAGCACTTTTTCATCTTGCAGAACTAAAACTCAATTAAGTAACTCCGAATCTTCCCCTCCCTCACAAGTCCCTGTTCTACTTTCAGCTTCCAGGGGTTTGATCACTCTAAATGCCTCATCTAAGTGAAATCATATAGTATTTTGTGACTGGCTTATTTCACTTAGTATAATGTCAGTAAATTTCATCTACATTGTAGCATATCAGGAGTTCCTAGGGCTGGAGGAGTAGCTCAAGGGGAAAGAGTGCATGCCTAGCAAGTGTGAGAGGCCCTGAGTTCAAACCCCAGTACCACCAAAAAAAAGTTGTAGAGAACTTCCTTTTAAGGCTAAGTACTCCATTGCATCTACACCACAGTTAATACATTTATCCATTGAGGGACATTCGGGTTGTTAGTTACTTTTCATGTCACTGTGACTAAATACCTGTCTAAAACAACTCAAAGGAAGAAGAATTTATTTTGGCTTGCAGTTTCCAAGGCTCAGTCCATGGTTGCTTGACCCACATACTTGGGCAGAGTATCATGACAGTGAGAGCATGTATGGAGGAGGAAGCTGTTTAACCTCATGGCAAACAGGAAGCAGAGCCAAACTTTAACCAGAAGGGCCAAGGCAAAGATACAGTCCCCAAGAACACACCCCGGTGACCTACTTCCTCCAAGCAGGCCCCACCTTCCACAGTTCACCATTTCCCAGTAGTCTATTCAAAGAATTCAATAGTCTGAATCCATCAATGGATGAAACCATTCATTAAGTCAGAGCTCTCATGATCTAGTTGCCTCTGGAAAGGCCCTCACAGACACCCCAGAGGTGTGCTTTACTAATCTCCTAGGTGTGAAGTTGACAATCAAGATTGACTATAACACGTTGCTTTTACCTTTTGGCTATACTGAATAATGCTGTGAACATGGATGTATGAATCTCTTCAAGATCCTACTTTCCATTGTTTTGGATATATTCACAGAAGTGGGATTACTAAATCATATGGTAATTTTTTTTTTTTTTTTTTTTGGCAAGACTGGGGTTTGAACTTAGGAACGCACACTTGCAAAGCAGGTGTTATACCACTTGAGCACCACCAGTCCATTTTGCTCTGGTTATTTTAGAGATGGAGACTCATGAACTATTTGCCCAGGCTGGCCTCAAATAGCAATCCTGCCAATCTCAGCCTCCCAAGTAGCTAAGATTACAAGTGTGAGCCACTGGCACTTGGTGTAATTCTATTTTTAATACTTTAAGGAATTATCATAATGTGTTTTCCATAGCTGCTGCAACATTTTATATCCTAATAGTGCACCATGGTTCCAGTTTCTCCACATACTTGTCAATACTTGTTACTTTGTTTTTTGGTTTTTGTTTTGTTAGTACTGGGGACTGAACTCAGGATTTATGCTTGCTAGGCAAGCACTCTACTACTACAGCCATGCTCCTAGTCCTGGTTTGTATTTTGTTTTTTGGTGTTTTTTTTTTGTTGTTGTTTTGTTTTTTGTGGTACTGGGACTTAAACTCAGAGGCTATACCAGCCCTTTTTTGTGAAGACTTTTTTCAAGATAGGGCCTCGCAAACCATTTGCCCAGACTGACTTTGAACCGCGATCAACCAATCTCTGTCTCCTAAGAAGCTAGGATTACAGGCGTGCGCCACCGGCATCTGGCTCTGGGTTGTTTTTTTGTTTTTCTTTTTATAACAGCCATATATACCCACAATGAGGTGACATCTCTCTGTTGTTTTGATTTATATTTCCCTAATGATTAGTGATTTACATGTTATATACTTCTTTTCCATTTGAAATATCTGTTCAAGTCCTTTGCCCATTTTTAAAGGTTATTTGTAGTTTTTGTTGTGTTGTAGAAGTTCTTTGTACATCTGATCAAATACAAGATTTGTAAATATTTTCTTCCATTTTTCAGGTTGGCTTTTCACTGTGTTGATTGTATACTTAGAAGCACAGAAATTTATTTTGATGTCCAATTTACCTATAATTTTGCTGCCTGTTGTTCATATCCAAGAAATCATTGCCGAATCTGTTGTGAAGCTTTTCCTCTATGTTTTCTTCTTAGAAGTTTATAGTTTTAGACCTTACATTTATGTCTGATTATTTTTGAGTTTGTTTTGTATACTGTGTAGGGTAAGGGTCCAGCTTCATTGTTTGCATGTGGATATCCAGTTTCCCCAACACCATCTGTTGAGTAGACTGCTCTGTCCTTTTTGGTCTTGTCATGCTTGCTGAAAATCATTTGATCATATTGCTAGGGTTTATTTCTAGTATTTTTCTGTTCTAGTTGATTGATCTGTTTTTATGCCAGTATTACACTGTTTTGATTATTAATAGCTTTTAAATAATTTTTGGAATCAGGAAGGATGAGATCTCCAATGTTGTTCTTCCTTTTCAAACTGTTTTTGGCTGTTCTGCTCTGGATTTTTTAAAATTCTAACAGTCAGAAATTAAGTCTCATGTGAAATTAGAATTATTAGTCAGTCTCTTGGAAAAAAATCAATAAATTGAGCAAACTGACAACAAATAGAATTGTGAATCGCTGGCATGTGCTCTCCAGTTTGCCACTGTCTGTCCCCATTCACTCATATAAACGTGACCCCCGAAGTCTTCATTCTTTGAGACTTTGAGACTCCTAGGCTAAGAAAAATGCAGCTGGACCCAGAGGCTTTGGTGGTCTGGTCTAGAGAATTGCTCAAAAGGAAAGTACAGAGTTCCAGGAGAAAGTATAGCTGGGAAACCATATTTTGTTTTTATATTTGTGAAAGCTATATTACGGTTCTCCAGAGAAACAATAGAGTAGAAGAGGGTTGGAAGGGGAATCAAGAAAGACTTATCTGTTGCTGGGCATGGAAGCTCATGCATAGAATGCCAAAACTCAGGAGTCTGAGATCACTAAGATCATGATGCAAAGCCAGCCTGGGCAAATAGTTTGAGAGAGCCTCTCAAAAAACCCTTCACAACAATAGGGCTGGCAGAGTGGGAGTGGCTCAAGTTCAAACCCCAGTACCACAAAAACCCCCCCGAGGGAGGGGGGAGATTAAGGGCTGATAGGGTGGCTCAAGTGGTAAAGCACCTGCCTAATAGGCTAAGTTCAAACACCAGAACCACTATAAAGGAAAAAAAAGCAAACAAAAAACAAGAGCTGGTGATCTAGGTAAGCAGAGTGCTTACCTAGCATGTGCAAGTCAGTCCCTGGGTTACATCCCAAGCACTGCAAAAAGAAAAGAGAGAGGGCTTTCTGAGGGAAGGGTAATTGAACTGATCCAGAAAGATGGAAAGGAAGTAGACAAATAAATACCGGATGGAAGAATATTCTAGATCTATGATACAAACTGTGGGCGCAACTACAAA